CTGGGCACCAGTCCACGGCAAATACGCCACCGCCAAGAAACCTCAACGGAATGGGATGGCCCCCCGGTGTCCTTTCCCTACCTAGGAACTAGCGCGCCTGGGGAAAAGAATCACGAAGGCTAAAAAGGGGAAGGGCAAAAGGGAGGGGTGAGGAGGAGGAGGAGGAATGGAAAAAGGGGAGGATGGGATAGGGGAGGGGAGAATGGGGGGTAATTAGTTCGGTCTGAGGAAGAAGACCGACAGGGCTAATTCCTCAGACCAAGAGCCTCTTCACCACGCCAAGGAGCCCCCCCTTGAAGAGGAGGTAAACCAGAGAATAGACAAAAGACAAAAAAGGGGTGACTGGAGTGATAAGGTGTCTGGAGAGAGAGATAAAAAAAAAAAAAAAAGTTAATGGAGACAAAAGAAGACTGTGCTAGAGTACGTATAGGGTACCAGTCCTTTTATTAAAGTGTGAGGCATGAGCTTTAAAAACTGCAGTGAGGAAGTGGCTGGGGGTAGTGGATATATCATAGTCGAGAGCTATGTGTTGGTTTGAAAAATATACAATAGATTCAGAACAGAACTTAGAAGACTGGTTACAATAGGTATTTAGAAGTTGGAGGCTGAGCTCCAAGACCTCCCAATTCTCAAAAGTAGACACTTATATCCTCCCTGCTTCCAGGCAGAAATGATTCCCCTTGCAATGTAAGCTCGCTTAACTTTTGACTGCCATGAGCTTCTTTCCTCTGTTTATAATTGTGGACACAGTTTACAAGTTCAAAAGGTGATCCCTAAACCACAGCATGTAGAAATTGCTGGCATTTTGGTCATCCAGCAAATATTGCAGGTTCATGGCTGAATGCCCAGTCTACCTCCCTCTTCCCTTAATTGTCATGAGGCTCACCTATTTTATTCTCACCATTCCCAGTTTACATAATGAGCGAGAAATCCATTGTCTCAGAGGCAGAAGGCTACCCATACGCTATGGCACTCTCTCATCTACGTCTCGAAGGGACCCCATATTTCTTATTCTCGAGTTACTAAACTTCCCCACCTCTGGGGTCCCAAGTTCTGCAGCCTCCTCTGGTCACCCCTTCTGCAGTCACCCGTCTCCTAATTTTTTTGCTGTCCTGGACTCGGAGGTCCCTATCTCAACACCTCATTCTGTCCTTACCTCTTCCTCTTCTCACTTCAAAGTTTGTGTTTACAACACCTCCTCCCCATCGCCTTTCTCCTATTCCAAAGTCCAAAAAAATCCCCATTGTTAAAAAACTCCTTTCACCCCTTCTTCCTTTCTGCAACCTGCACATTTTTCCTTTCCAGGTCTGTACCTGGTTTTTTCACCCCTAACTGACTCTGCTACGAATGTAAAGGTTTATCCTCCTCCTCGTACAGTATGTTCTTCCTCTTCTGCCCCCCTCCCCGGTTGCTTCCTCTCCTGTCCCTCTACCCTTTCGTCCTCCCCCCCCCCCATACTTTTGGTACAGTCCAAACATCACCCCATCTTTACTCACCCTCCTCCTCCCATCTCCAGTATTGTACTACACCAACCTCCTTGTTTTCGAAACTATTGAAGCTATTCAGAATACAGTATGTTGTGGAGATCGACAGTGGACACCGATCCTCTACATCTTTCCTCCTATTCACTCTTCTCGTGTGACACATATCCATTCTTCGCAGCGTCCAACCATTCACTGCTTTAAAAGTTTTTGCTTGCCTCCACATGTGGCTTTTCTAAACCTTCTAGTCCATGATACCTTCTACCTTCAGATTTCTTGTCTCTTTGCAAATCATGGCATACTTTACTGTGGAATATCCATGGACGTCAGAGGTAACCAGGGTGAGCTTCAGGTATGCTCTTCCTAGTTTTCCTCCTGTTGTGTTTGTTTACAAGAAACCCTGGTTCAGGTTATGCTCTGCTGTTTCATCCCATCTCGGGTATGATTTATTATATTCATAGATCCTTTCCCGATGGACCTTTAATGTAAGTGCACTAAACAGTGGTATTCCATACCGTCAGTTCTATGTTTCATACTCCTCTTCAAGGGGGGTCCTTGCGCTGGTGAAGAAGCTACTTGGTCTGAGGAATTGACCTGTTGGTCTTCTTCCTCAGACCGAACCTTAATATTTACCCCCCCATTCTCCACTCCCCGATCCCATCCTCCCCTTTTTTTCCATTCCTCCTCCTAATCCCCCACCCTCCCTTTGCCCTTCCTCTTTTTGGCTTGGTGGAATTCTCCACAGGCACGATAGATTCCTAGTAGGGAATCCAAGGAACCGGGGTCCATCCCTTTCCGTTGAGGTTTCTTGGCGGTGGCTTAGTTGCCGTGGAATATGGATGCCTGCGGGATGTACGATCCCTCTCAGGTATATGGAGTAGCTTGGGTGTCTTTCGGCGACGGGTGGTATCTCTGGAAGCCACCTTTAGGATTCGGGGGGTGGTGGCCGAAGGAGGTTTGCTTTTGTGGCGGATATTCC